CCCGGGCCCCGGGTCATCTCATTCACTCGCCAGGCCTGCGCTCTGGGTTGTTTAGGATCCCGCGGCCTGGGTCGTCTCACTCTCTGGCTGGGCCTGCGCTCTGGGTCTGTTCAGGATCCAGAGGGCCTTTGGTCGTCTCACTCACTCGCCGGGCCTGCACTCTGGGTCTGTTCAGGATCCCGCGCGGCCTGGATCGTCTCCCATATTGAGAACTATTTGAAGGAAATGAAAGGATGACTCCTGGGAAATATGTAGCATTAAATTTTGAAAGGCTGTTTTACCTTTGTTTCTCCTGGTAGATTGAGATCTGGAGTAGTTTTATCTTTTTTACATTGTAATGTCAAATGAAACAGCACAAAAATTTGTTTACTTCATTTGTGTGAACTGAGGATACTGCTTATAAGTGGAAGTGTCAGTCCAGTTGTCCTAAGGAATAATAGTATCAGTACCTATTTAATTTAGTTTGGTAGGAAGCTTAGCTTTTTATGATTTAATTACAGAAAAAAGCATATTTTAGTTCAATATAGTGAAACATTTACTGAAGAAGAGTTCTGTCTAATAAGTGATTCAAACCTTTGAATGCATTTGGGAACTTAACTAAAAATTGTATTCTGAGATTTACTTCAGAGATTTCTGATTCAGTAAATACCACTTTATCCCAGCAGATGTAGCCACGACATGGGATGCACTTTCACAGACCAAGGCTGCTGTAAGTTGTTTTAACTTCCATTTACTTATTTCTGTTTTAAAATTAATTTCCTGTTTGGATAGGGGAACATTTCTTTTTGGACAGGGGAACTTTTTTGAATAGAAAATAAGCATTTTGGTAAGAAATGAAATATATTATAAAATGACATAACTATTAAATAGTAAAGGTATAAAAGTGGCACTACTGTAAGTATCAAGGGCACTAATGCCACTAATAAAATACTAAAACTTGTGTAATTTATTCACTTTTAATAGGTTTGTTCATTTGGTATGTTGCAATGAAGATTTGATAGAATAAATGTGATAATGATGAGCCTGTGTCTGTGTAGAAGACTCATTGCTAGGGAGGAAATGAAAGGAACTAGCTTTTCTGGAAGCTTTGAATGGCTATAAGTTATCTCTTTTTCTGTGAGGTGGTAACTTGTTTTCTTTCATTCTACTAAAGAATGACTACTATGGGCAACTTGTTTCCATTTGTCTTCTGCCCAATTTTATTTGGATTTTAGGAATCCACATTTGACAAGTGATATTTATGGAGACACCACGTTTTAAATTTCCTTTCTGAGCAAATAATCTTTTAATGTATCCTTTTTTTGGTTTTCTTTTGTATACTACCTAATTTAAAATACCTGTGTCTTTACTCTCGAGTATTTTTATGGTACTTTCTGTCCTCAAATCTTTGGACATCTTTCGAAAATCAATCGAGAAAGGCCAGTGAGATAGCTCAGTGAACTAAGCACCTGCTTAGGCAAGTGCAGGGACTGGGTTTGATTCCCGGCACCACATGCCATGTGGCTCTGTCCCTGGGCATGTTGTGGTGCAGGCCTATAATCCCAGGGCTGGGGAGGCTAAAAACAGGAGGATCACTTCCAGTCCGAGCAGTATAGTGAGACACTGTACCAAATACATTCGGGGTGTCAGGGGGAGAGAAGAAAGAAAAATAAAAAAAAGTGAATCTAGAAAAATTGTTATTACTAAGCTTTGATCCCAATGTAGGATCAAGTTTTGGCCCTATGTATATGTGCTGCCAAAGCAAGCACAAGTTTTGGCCTTATGAATAAGCAATGTACATTCTGTCTTCTATGTATTATGCATTTACGTATAGGAATAGTTTTTATTCCTCAGTTGGATTTAGTTCTAATCTAATTCATAACTAGATTGTTCATTCACAGTTGTTTTTGAAAAAGTATCTTTTTGAAGAATTTGTAAAGGACCCATAATAATCAGTACAGGGAAAAGGCTGATAATGAAATATTACTATGTAGTATTATTTCAGTTTTTAGAGTTCATTACACTGAAAAAAATCTAAATGATGAGTCAAAATTGTGTACATTGTTACTTTATTTTTTTGTGGGGTTAAGGATTGAACCTGGAGCAATACCCATGCTAGTGTTCTCTCACTGAGTTACCACTCCAGGCTTTTTATTTTTTTTATTTTTATTTTTTTTTCTTTTAGTGTTTTCACTTTATTGTTACGTGATGATACATCAGTGTCTGTACACAGTCGGATATTCGGCTGTATTCCTGGCTTCTACCCACTAGATGACAGCAGCAGCCCACCTCTAAAGCTGTGACACTCAAAATGTCTCTGACCATTGTCAAATGTTGCCATTCAATAGCTTAATTAATAAAAACCTGCTGCAAAAATTAAAATCAAAATATACTCTAAAAAAAGTGAAAAGATGATCTATTCATTAATGTTCTAAAAAATCTTAAATTTTTATATACCAGTTTCCTAAAGAACACAAGGTAATCATGGTAAGCATTCATTTAAATAATTATGGAATTTGTTTATAGATACACAGTATGTATGTGAATATTTGGTAATTTTAAAAAATATTTATCTTGTGACACACAAAGAATAAGGAAAAGTGAGTTTAACAGTATTGTCTGGGAATAAATTAAGTACATATGAAGTCTATGAAGTACAACCATTAAATCTATATCTGCTGATTTTTTTTCACTTCAAAGACCAAAATCAAAACTTTTCAACATCAAAGAACCAAAGTAGAGCTATAGTTGTATATAACAGCATCGTTAACAGCAACTACTACTCCAACCAGCTGTACCAATACACAACAAACATCTACTATACTCAATTTAAATGCTGCCACTAAAATCAATTACACCTCAGTTTATAAACTTAATTTGTTTAATGATTTTGGGGAAGATAGCAATGATCATGTTTGCTACCTGATTCAGTTTGTGAACAGAAGCAAAATTTACTGAACACCTTTGTTCGCAAATCAAATGGCTTACAAATAGAAACATTCAGGAACTGAGGTGTTCCTTATACATGTTTATTCTGAAAGATGCTACCATGAAGTGTGTAGGCTCAAATGCTGATAATATTCATTTGAAATTAAGCTGTTGCAAAACCTACGTGGTAGGTTGAACTTGAACCTGCGGACAATTCTAATACTCACTGGAAACACTTTGAAAGATAGGAAAGCCCACTGTTTTACACAAATTAGAAGCTTTAAATCATCTCCCATTAGTGTTTTCAATTGTCACAGAGCCATAAGCCAAAGATTCAAATAATTTCAACCCATCATTGATACTATTAGGCAAAGAATCTCAGATGCCACCACTTTTAATGTCGTATACATCAAATTATAGCAAAAGACAACTACAATATGATACCCTCTCTTGTTCATGAACAGAACACACATATATCACAGTAAACCAAGCTTATATTCCACCATCAAGTGTGGTTCCCCCATGAGCTCGTTTTGGGATGGATCATTGAGAATATCTTCAAATCCGATAGTCTCATCATTACCCCTCAAAATATCCAATGAAAGGTTAGAGCTAGAAAGAAATGGAAGACGCTGAACCTGCTGTACT